CCTGCCTATACGTTATCTATTCCACTGATGACACATCATGATCATTTTCTCACTGTTCTTAAATATTCACCCAAAAGCTGTTTTCAAAAACTACAACATTCCATCCTGGTGTGATGGTGCACAGAACAATTCAAGAGGTTGAGACAGTAGGATCAGAAGTTTAAGGCCAGCCTGAGCAACTTAGTGAGAACATGTCTCAGAATAAAGTAAAAAGGGCTAGGACATAGATCAGTAGTAAAGTGCCCCTGGGTTCAATTCCCACTACTGAAAAACAACAACAACAAAAAAAAAAACAGTGTTTCAGTGTTTCATATGGATATATGTGTGTGTATGTGTATTGCATATATATACATATATGTGTGTGCATATTTTTTGTGTACTTTATCTTTGACATTTCTTTCATGAACTATGCACACATTGTCACAACAGAATATTTTTAACCTTTTGCTTTGTAATTCTTAATATTTATTAATTTACCTAGTATATACCCACATATGTAAAAATTATACTTTATACTGTATCTATTATTGGTGATTACTCTTTTTATATTTGCTTGGTACCGTCTTGTTACCATATTTATGAATATAATTTAGATTTTATGATTTATGTGTATTTGTGCTTTAAACTGTCTCAGGCTCGTCTCTTTTTGCTATTTCTCTCAGTTTTCCAGAATCTCACCCTCAATTATTTATTTTGAAATCAGTAAGGTACACCACCCCTACTCTGCTGTGCATATTCTACCAAGGCCCTAGTGCAGCCCAACTGGAGTGAGGTATTCACCAGTTCCATCCTCTCATCCTTATGAGTATATAAATGTAAATTAACTCTCCTAGAAAACTTAAACAGTGTCTGCCTTCTTGTGCTAAAAGAAATACATGCAATTACACAACTTTCACAATCCACAAATTTCAATATAATTCTTCTGTATTATTATTTATCAACATTAATATTTATTAATCACTTCAAATTGCTAGATTGCTAATCTCCAAAACTGTTTTGGATCAGTACAGATGGCTAAAATAAGAAAACTAACATTTTTGGTGTCTTAAAAAAAAATGGCCTTGTGGTAGGAATGTCCCAGGACAAATTTCTGGATTTAGTAGATGTGGGCATTAGACATTTGTGAAAGATACCCCCTGCTGGTTTCTTATGAATTTACCATAGTTCCATAGTCTAGGCTTCAACCAGCCATTTCTTAGTTTAGCCTATTTCTTCTCAAAACAGTGATTTATTCCTCCTATGGTTCTAGTATTCATCCATAGTCTTAATTTCCAATGCTGCTGTGATTTTGTATTTGTGTGTGTGTGTGTGTGTGTGTGTGTGTGTTTTACTATCAGTGGAAAGGGAAAGTGAAGAAGGTAGTTGTGCACAGTTAGTTTTAGTTGAAACCAGGAAATGGCAGCTCAACCCCACAATAATGAACACAAGGTAATTTCCTCATCATCCCCTTCAGCTCATCAGACCTATGGAACAAGAGGCCATCTCTGAGAGCTAACACATTGCAGACTGTAAGCAGTTAAGGAATATTCAGTCACATGAAGTCCTATGTCAGCCTTTCCTCTTAAATGTCATTTTGATCATTTTATTTCCTTTGAAAACATAGGTTTTAATTCACAAAGGAAGTTAAATGATGTATTTTTAATACATATATGCTCATTTTCCCTCATTAAACAACTTCTGAGACACTGAAAAAAATCTGATACCTAGGGTCTACATTGCTTTATGTTCTTAATATGTAAAAGACATTGTCATTGAGGAAACAACAAAACAGCTTGTTCATTAGCAAACACAGCATGTAGGTGGAAACAAAGGGACAGAAACAAGACCCTAATTATACCCATGAATTTCTCTTCTTCCTGAGAAAGATTCAGAAGACCATGCTTCCCCTCAGTAACAACGTCCTGTAGGGCTTTTATGAAGAATATATTTCCCCATATGTCTGTGAGTCAGTATGTGAGCTTGATCATTGCTGCCTAATAACACAACATGAATTCCCACTAGAAGTCAACTAATGGGTACTTCAAGCACAATTTTCTATGCATGTTAAATGAGTAGGTTGAAAAGTTTGCCATTCTGAACCTCCTTTGGTGGGCAGGGAATATTACACGGAATTTTGGACAATACTTTGCTTAAATTATAGTCCCATAAAAGAAAAATTATTCTATAATACTGCTCCTTTATAGAATAATTGCTATTATTTTGGACTCAAGATTTCCTAAGCACCCATTTGAATTATGTTCTAGTGTCTCTGTAATTGGTACTGTCTTCTGCCTAGAATGAAAACGGGTGCTTGAATCACTTTAAATTTTAATAATTGTGAATAATTTTTAACCACGGGTGGCATATTCTATGAGGTTCAATCACAGTTTATGTATGTACCAATGGAAAGGAAACAAAATAAACTGTACTCTTACCCAAAACTATAAATTGTTTGTCTTAGTGAAGATTTTATTTGTCCATCAAAAAGACAGAAATTGAACAAGCAATAATGGAAACTTAATATGTGTGCACTGCTGGAGTGCTTCTTGATGATTATATTTTAACAAAAGTTAATGACCAAGTAATGGAAATAATGAGCTGAAGTGAAAATCCAATATGAGTTTGATGAGTAGAACATTCTGAATGGAAGTATACTAAGGAGAAAATCCCTGTGAAATGTTTTACTTGCTATGGCTGCTGAAGTTTATTAGTTTTAGTATTAAAATGGAGATGATGGATAAAGGAACCTAAGTAAATGAGCGCTGGTGATCTTCAAGAGCGATGGGCATAACCTATAGGACAATTGAACAAGATGCATAAAAAGAGGAACTGTTTTCAAAAGGCTTTATCTCTGTTTCCATGAACTCCTTGTGTACGGTCATATGTCTATACATCATCTGTGAAGCTGATGATGAAGAAGCAAATATTCAGCCTGTAAGTAGAGGAACCTTTCCCAAAGACACTGAGCTACGTAAATGATGAGAGTGGCAATGTCCGCAATAGATGATAAAAGTGGAGATTTGGGGCTCTTGTGGACCAAGAATGGTTATTTGGGAACAGTTTGATGAACAAATCCATCACAAAGATTATCCAAAAGACTCCTTTAGTCCCAGAAAATTCCTTAAGTATAGTTTCCCTTAATTACCACAGAAAGAAAAACGGAATTACAAAAATTATCATACTAATGATAATAGAAAATGATGCTAGGACTGAAAGGTTCAAAGGTTCAAATGGTACTGTCATTATTACCACCACCCCCACCATTACCACCATCAATAATCTCAAGTAACATTTACTGAGGGTTTAATAGATGCTATCAACCAGCCTATGTAATTTTCCCAAAAAAATTCATTAAATTCTGACAACCCACGGGAGTTATTCTTTTAAGTTGCAATTTTATAAGGGAAAAAGTAGGTAAGTTGTTAAAACCTCATAATTTGAAGGGTAAGCAGGACAACTGAGTTCTGTTTTACATTTTGCATCATATTATTAAGTGTTAAAATGTTTTGCAAATTATAAATGCTATAGACTTACGATCAGTCATCATCACTAGTAATAACATGTCTGAATATCTAAGGAGCAGTTTATTGATCAACCTGTGACACCTTCCATGATATAATCAACTACCAGCTATAAAAAACTTATGAGCTCTGATATAATCTGTTGTCTTTCACATTTTAAATATATCAACGAGAGCCAAATTAATGGAACATTTTATAATATAGAAACAGGCAATGTATGTGCAAATTACATTTCTTCTAAAAATCATATGGCTTAAGTTATTTCTTATAAAAAAATTCGGCTTCAGCATAATGATTTCTCTGTTTTCTTAGCAAAACAGACAAATAAGAAAAGAGCTGTGTTTTTAAGGCCTCCTCCCAATAGAAACAAAACAAAACAAAACTCAGAAGATTCTGTCAGAATATGGCAGAGAAAGGTAAACCTTTGATTATTTGATATTTTGCTGATAATGGAATTTTTTGTTGATTATTTGGTATTTTGCTGATAACGCAAATGATTGTCTATAATGCTTGGAAGTTATAACATTGTACTTAATAGTTTAGAGTTACAGTTCATTTAGCTCTACATTCAGATTCAACTGTGTACATTCTCTAAATTTTTCAAAATACTCGAAAAATTAAAGAATTATTCAAATTAACCCCTAATATTGCCTTAAATTATTTAACTATAATTTTACTTACCTTTGTACAGAAATAAAACAAGTCAAATTCCTTCTTTCTTATAGACCAAAATGAATAAAGAGAAAACCCTCTAAAGCAGTAACAGAATATTGTTTTTATATGATGGAGGTTATTTTTTATCAATCTCAATTATTTCAATTTCATTGGTAACATCAATATAATAATGATTGGCATATATAGATTGCAATGTAATGATTTAATTCTCTTTTCAATTTTCTCCATTTGTATTGTGATAGTTTGGCTTTAACCAAAATTTGTCAAAGACAAATGTTTACATGTTAAAAATTCTTCTGCACATTTTAAATTTAGCTGTGGCAATCAAAGTAATCCAGTTTTTTTTTTTTTTGCATCAACATGATTAGAAACAAAAAGGAATCATTGGCACAGAAATCACATGACACAAATTCTATCATAAAGTCATCATCCAGAAGATCCAGAATATGTTTTCATTATTTCTATTATTAACATTGAAGAAAAACACAGCCCTTGAAAATGATCATGTAATTTGTGGATCTCTAAATATGCAGACCCAAAATGAAAAGCAAAGGTAACTTGCTTAATGAAAGTGTTTGCTTTCTTCACTACCTAGAGAAATTCTGAACTGATGATAAACCGCAAAGAGGCAAAGAAATCTGACCATACTTAGGCAGAACTTTGATTTTCTTTTAAAAATTACTTAATAGACAAAACACATACATTTCAGTTAGTTTATGAAATATCTCACAACATCTGTAAGACTCTCTTATATACTTCACATGTGACCTCTGCAACCTCAAAAATGTCTGACGTTAAACTATTAAAATAGAAGGGACTTCTTACCTTTTGTTCTCTCTTACTGCTTTATCTCCCTTCTTCCAAGAGATGGTGGGCTTGGGAGAGCCTTCAGGTTTGCACTCTATTATCACTTCTCGGTCTTTGGTGACAATTATTGTTTTCTTCACTTGATTCAGTGCAAAGGTGGGAGCTGAAGCTATTAGAATGGAAAGGTTAGTTTTACCCAAAGCAATGATAATTATGTTTAGTTGATGATTCATCTAGATATTTTGACATTTTCCTCTAGGATACATTTTCATAAAGGCATTAGCAAAATTTTTAATTTATTATTAATTAATAGATATTTATCTTTCAAATAGCAGATGTTGGTTTCATTTGTTGTGAGATCCACAGATAAAGGTTGTATAAAAAATGACTTGCTTTAAATATGATTACCAGCTTCAGTTTGAAAGACTGATGGCCAATGTGTGCAGAAAGTCAGGCGGACAACTAAGGAAGTTTAAGCTTTCTTTGGAAAGACAGTTATTACTTGTGGAGAAGACAATAATATGACTTCCATCTCCTTACTCTGCGTCTTAATTTAATCCAAATTTTACTTCAGTATTATACAAAATTGAATGTTTTAAATGAAACAAAGTTTTTAGAAAATTGAATTGCCTGAATTTTAATTAAAATATTTATTTATTTTTTGCAATTATTCATCTATGCATGATCATTCATTAATATTGCTTTTATTAGATTTTTATCAGGATGCTTTTATCTCTGAAAGATATGCCTGGAAGTCTACAGTATCTGAGACAATTACTTATACAATTAGACAATTCTGTGTATATTTCAGAAGAATTTTATGTTCATAATATAGCAATATAACAAATGGCATAATGACATTAAAATATTACATGCATACAATTGAGATATGCTGAGAGACTGAAATAAAAATGAAAAAAAAAAACTATGAAGAGATAGCAGTTAACATTTTTCATTGCCTACAGGGAATACAGAATTTATTAAAGGTAATTTTGAAAACATGTCTAGTGAATAACAAGGGTTAGAGAATGTATAAAGGTAAAGAACTAAAGACTCAATTGTTTCATTCTGAGATGTTACAGAGTATGAATTGACAATACATTAATATTTACTGTACAAGATGTAGGAAATTTAAACAGACTACTGTTTCTATTCACTCTATATTTTTTATAATGTGCAGGAATTCAACTGCAAATATTCATAATTCAATAAGTTGATTAATGATGAATTATATTTGGCTTATATTTATAAATGCTAGTTCTCCAGGTTTCTGAGATGTTTGGTGTTATGTAAATGTAATATTTTGGGAATTTAAGTGGGGAATAGAAAGTATGCTTTGTCTTTCCCCTATTTGGAGTAGACAGTGAATTAAGATCACAAAAGTATATCTCTTTGTATTACAACCATCTTGTATCAAAGTTTAGGAAACTATCAGATGGGAAAAAGTAAATTAGTTTCAGTGTTCAAAATATTCTTATTCTGGATAGACTCTTTCACTATATTCACTCTTCCCTATAATATTTAAATAGTCAATCTGTTGCTAGTGTCCAGTTTCCATTCTTTTTTTTTTCAGTTTTCATTCTTATGAAAGGGATAGTCTCTGAGCCTGCCTTGCCTGACCTCCAGAGGCTTTCTCATTTATTAAGAATTATAACAACTTATGTCCCATTAGAAGAGAATGATTTATCCTGGAGTCCTATCTTGTAGGAAACACAACTAGTGCTAGTTAGGAAGTGGTTAGGGAAATATTAACCTTCTATGGAAGCAAATATTGTATGCTAGAATTCCATATTCAGATACCCTATACTCTAAAGGCATTTTTCCTTGAGTTATCATATGTTCCATTATATGATTTTTAAAAATGCCAGAGCAAAGATATATTGTATAAACCATTTAAGATTTCAACTAAATAGAATATCCCAATAAACAAAAAGCTATGGTACAAACTTTAGACAATATAAACCTGTTTTCTAAGGCTTACAGAACATATCAACAAGATATAGTATTTCTTTTTAAGCCGTAAAATAGATTTTTAGAACCACGTCATAAAACTTCTTTACAGTAAGAATTAGAGCATGAAAAGAAGCAATCCTTCTTTTCTACTGATTTACTTAGAAATTTCATACCTAGAATCTTCAGTTCAGCACTTGCATAAATGGCTCCATACTTATTTTCAGCCAAACACTGATACATCCCAGCATCCGATTGATTCACGTTGTGGATCATCAGTACTCCATTAACCATGTCAACCCTACTCTGTAATGGAATAAAAAAAATTACATCTAGAAAGTAAACAACCAATGAAAAAAACCTCTAATTAATGAAGTTAAACACTACTTCACAACTAAGTAACATAAATTTATTGTTTATTATGTCTCTTGTTACATTGTAACTACTTCTTAGTCACTAAGGGAAGTATAACTATATTTTCCTATCCTTTGTTTTAGGAGTTTTACTTTCAGTTTTGTTTTTAATCTGAGCTGACTTTTTTGCAGACTTGATCTTGTTAAAGGCAGCAGCAGATGATACTTTAATTGGAATTCCTTTTGTAAAGAGGAAGCAGAGGTTCAGTGATGGAGAGGATGGAGGTGGTGGACATGGGATCAAGGTTAACAAGAGCTCAGATAAAAGAACAAGCCTTTCATTCTATTGATCTGACCAGGAATTTGCCTTTTCTCTCACTTCTCAACAAACTAACACAAACAGAAAACCTCACTGTTACTGTCTGCAAAAAATGACAGGTCAGAAAATATAAGCTTCATCATCAGAATACAGAAGAAAGAAGACTGAGCATGTATTAACTAAGGCAAACTGAGGCCAAGGGTACATTTCAGAAACCAATCTTGAATTAAAAGTATTAAATAAACCCCCTCCATTTTCTATTTAATGCCAAGCAAATAATTATTTTTTAATCTTAGCAGAGATTCATCAATGGAATGACAAGTAATTTGACAAGATTTTCAAAATAGACCCATTCACTTAGCAAACATATTATCTGTCAGTAGAATTAATGTTACTTGAAGGCTTGGAATATAAAGTATAACCAGCAAGTTGGGCATGATAGTAGAAGTCTGTAATTCCAGCTACTCAGGTGGCCAAGGCAGAAAGATTGCAAGCTAAAGGGCAGCCTGGACAATCTGGTGAGACTCTGCCTCAAAATAAAAATTAAAATGGGTTTGGGGAAGTAGCTCAGTGTTAGAACACTTGCTCTAACATGAGGCTCTGAATTCCATCCTTAGTGCCACATATGCACACAAAATTAAATAAGTAAAAGAAATAGAAAAAAATGACCAGCATAGCCTGTTTTTTGTTTCAAGGGGTGTGTATTCTTAGGAAAAGTAGAAAGAGAATTCAAGAGTATTCAAAAGAATTCAATTCAAGAGAATTCACTATAGCCCTATGTATTTATCTGGTTTTTTGTACAGTTCCATTTTGTCCTGTCTTAATTAGCTTTAGAAGGAAATGTTAGGAAAAAATGAAATTGGGAATGATATGATCCAATCTCTGTATGTTAAAAATGAACAGACCGAGGTAAATGATGAACAAGAGTCCCTATGACAGTGCAAGTCCTGGGCAGGACTGGTATCCAGAGTCTCAACTTCACACTCTCACTTCCATTTTGGTCATAAATAGTGATCTATTGCTTCTCTGTTCTCCCTCCTGCAAAGGGTACAATCAAGGAATAAAGCTATCAAAATTATTACCATCATTCTGCAATGAAGTAATAATTAATTTAAATCTAGTACTTACCAAGTTGTTTTAAAAAATATGTAATATATTTACTGAAAAGACATTTATTGTGACTGTGGGTAGTAGAGTGCCACAGGAAGAACCCCACCAATGATGCAAGAGACTAATATTCCACTGCAAGCTCCTCTCCTATTAGATGTGGAGTCCTGGGCAAGTCACTTCACATTAAGAGACTAACTCCATCATTTGCAATGTGATGGCAACACAACAGATGGTATCTAAGGGTCTTCTAGAAATGGCAATAAGTCTGTGATGATCAGTGATATTTTCCAAAAAATTTATGGGATCTAGAAAAAATTATGTAGTACACTGCTTAAAAATGTAATTAGGTAATTAAAAAGAAAATCTTGCTCATATATTTGTTATATTTCTCACTCTAAACACATTTGAAGATAGGAGTAAGAAATGGTTTTCAGTAAGACTAAAGAAACCTATTGATGTCCTGTGTGAAATTTCACTAAAATTACCCTGGAACAGGCTAATAGTTCCCAACAGTACCTGAGGTAAGAGTGGTACTCCATTCTTCAGCCACCGATATGTGGGCCTAGGCTTTCCAGTGGCTTTACATTCCCATCGGAGAGGGCTTCCACTGTCTAATTGAGTGTCGTTCAGTTTCTCTAACCAGTGTGGGAAGGCTGTAAGTGTTTAAGCATTAAAGAAGAGAAATTTAGTTTCTTAAAAATTTCATCTGGTTCAAACTTCACATGGAAAAATTCATAGTATTAAATATTATTTTTAATAATTAGCCTGTGTGTTTATAAGAAGCATAGCATTACATTACATATAGAACTGTATTTTCTATGCAAAACACACACACACACACACACATACACAAACACACATACATGAGAGAGAGAACACTCATAATATTTTCATAACTTAAGAAATACTTTTGTAAACTATTTGAAGTATGTCTTGTTTATTTATTTTTTACTGCTATAAAGTAAAGTGGTTTGATTCCCCTAAGACACCAGGGCATTTTAGTGGAATTTAGCTATGCAGAGGTATCACTCTTTCAAAGTAGTGGGGCAGCAGTTGCTCTGGGAAGAAGGAAAATCACTGGTTGATTACGCAATATTTGCTCTGATTTTTTTTTTCTACTAGAACCTGAATGGTTTTGGAAAAATAATCCATGAATTCAAATGTTACTTAATATTTGTCTTGATTTAATTGACTTCTTCAAGTATAACAAACATTTTAAATTGTAACAGAAAAAAAATCCTTTATGAAGAAAGAGATAATGCTGTAATTATGTAAAACCTATAAGACACAAGTTAAAGTATCTTTCCTCCATAGGAAAAGAATAAAAGTGATATTTTTTTGTCTATACCTATCATTTAAAAAGACTCAAAGCAAAAAATAGAAAAGGATTTTGTACTTAATTTATTGATCTTTCTAGTAACATACTTGGCAAAAAGGAAAAAATCATAAAACAAACCCTACATGTTTAAAAAATTATATCTACACTAGTGAGGACTTTGATCATTCAATTCCTTCATGTTCATTCATGTCGTACTGTGTAGTACTTAATCTGAGAAGTAGAACCACATAAATTGTTATTGTGACAGAAGTCTAACATCAGTTCTGAGGATAAAAATGATATAAGAAAGACTTGTTGAAGGAAATTGAACATAAATATCAGAATAGTGGGTCCAAAAGGACAACAGAACCAGGCAAATTGGCATACCTATAATCCCAGTGACTTGGGAGGCTGAGGCAGATGGATCACAAATTTTAGGCCAGGGGCTGAGGTTATAGCTTAGTTAGTAGAGTGCTTGTTTAGCATGCACAAGGCCCTGGGTTCAATCCAGAAGGAGAAGGAGAAGGAGAAGGAGGAGGAGGAGGAGGGGGAGGAAGAGGAGGAGGAGGGGGAGGAGAAGGAGAAGAAGGAGGAGAAGAAGAAGTTGTTCAAGGCTAGTCTCAGCCAGAACTTATACCAAACTAAAATATAAAAAGGACTGGAAATGTTGCTTAGTGGGTTAAGCACTCTAGGTTTAATTCCGAGTGACAGAACAAAACGAAAAGATAATAGATGTCCAATTCCAAAGTCAGTTTATAAGGGAGGAAATAAAGAGACTAGCAACTCTCATTTATTAGATGCTAGTAGTATAAACTGAAACTTAACACCAAAAAAAAAAAGCCCCCAAACCAAACAACAACAAAAAACTCCAAATAACCCAACCAATAAATGGGCTAAGGAATGAACAGACAATTCTCAGAAGATAATATACAAGCGATCAACAAATATATGAAAAAATGTTCAACATTTCTAGTAATTGGAGAAATGCAAATCAAAACTACTCTAAGATTTCATCTCACTCCAGTCAGAATGGCAGGTATCAAGAATACGAGCAACAATAATTGTTGGCGAGAATGTGGGGAAAAAAGCACACTCATACATCGCTGCTGAGAATGTAAATTGGTGCAACCAATCTGGAAAGCAGTATGGAGACTCCCTGGACAACTTGGAATGGAACCATCATTTGCTCCAGCTACCCTACTCCTCAGTCTATACCCAAAGGACTAAAAATCAGCATACTATAGTAACACAGCCACATCAATGTTTATACCAGCTCAATTCACAATAGCTAAATGGTAGAAGCAACCTAGATGCCCTTAAATAGATGAAAGGATAAAGAAACTGTCGTTTATATACACAATGTAATATTATCCAGTATTAAAAAAGAATAAAATTATGGCATTTGCAGGTACACAGATGGAGTTAGAGAATGTCACGCTAAGTGAAGTAAGCCAATCCCCAAAAAGCAAAGGCCAAATGTTTTCTCTGATATGTGGATGCTGACCCATAATGAGGGTGGTAGTGGGTAGCATGGGACAAGTGGAGAAACTTTGGGTAGGGCAGAAGGGAGAAAGGGGAAGGGAGGGGCCCTGATGGTAGGAAAGATGGTGGAATAAGATGAACAATGTTACTCTAAGTACATGTATAAAGACATGAATAGTGTTACTGTGTGTAAATGAAAAATTGTGCTCTATTATGTGTTCTATGAGTTGAAATGCATTATGCTGTCATGTATAACAAATTTGAATAAATAAATTTTTTAAAAAGTAAAGAGAAATAAAAATAATTGGTATGTTCTAAAAACTGAAATAATTTCTCAATTAACTCCTGTAATATTTATCTTAAAAACAAAAAGATTGCATGTCATAAATCAGTAAACTCTGGCTTAAAAAGGTCAAAGAAGTTTGTCCAATGTCATAAAATTAGTTATTTGTTTTTAGGTGGGAAGGTTTAAGTATGTTTTTTTCTTTCTTTTACTAGTGCATTATAGTTATACATGGTATCTAGGTTCATTTTGAAAAAAAAAATAATACATACATGGAATTTGATTTGCTCCATTTCTGTCTCTGGTGGCCCTACCCTTTCCTTCCCCTTCTTCCTCTCCCTATTCTCCTTCTCTACTGGTGTTCCTTTCACTCCTTTGTTTATTTTTGATTGGTTATTTTGTTTTTATTAGTTTATTGGTCTTCTAACCAATATACTCTTATCTTTTAGGAGCCCTACCACAGCTGTGGCATACCACATTCAGGATTTCTAGGCTTGAAATACATCCTGTGGTTCAAGCTGTAGGTGTAGAAGCTATTATTAAAAATATTCTTAATGAATTTCAAATATTGGCCCCAATTTTTGTGCTTGGCTTCCAAATTAAGTCTCTTTATAGTTACATGTCATATATACTGAAAATGCTAATAGAGGTGGTTAGAAACAAGAGCAATAGTACACTCTCATATTTGAGTTTCCTAAACTTTCTAACCTTACTTTGCCACCCTAATTGGTATACACTGTGCATGACCCCTGTAATCTGTCTAGACCAGTTTGCTGTTTCCCATGCACACATTCTATATTTTTGAAAATTATTCACTGCACATGGAATGTTCTATTTCTCTTCACTCTCTCTTTTAATTCTACCCATTATTTTAGGGTTAGTCTAAATTAAATAAATCATATTAATCTTAACCCCAAAGAAAAGCCATTTGCACTGTCCATGGATAACTGATTCTTATTTGCTTGGAAAATTATCAAGTAGTAGCTTGTTGCTCATGTGACTTAAATCATTACTTAATTTTTTGCTTGGTCACAGTATGACACTCAGATCATGAGATCATTGAAATAGTGTTGATTTAACACATACACAAATGTGTTAAATCAACACATTTGTGTTAAATCAAATGCATATGCATTTGTGTGTATATCACATATAACTTAAGCACCTTATTTCACATTATTTAATCACAAAATATGGATACTTCTATTTAATGATAATTCTTTTAATGTACTCTAATGCTGGGATGCACAGTTCGTGGGTGTTAAAAAGAAAGTATCTTAAAAATTCACTAAAAAGAAAATTTAGAAATAACAAGTGAAAAATTAGAAATAACAAACTATTAAAACGTTAAAATAAAAACAAATTTTATCATCTGGAAAACAGAAATTTCAATAATATTTCTCCAAACATATTTTGGATTGCTGTATTTAAGTAACATTAAGAATACTGATTTCAAAATAAATTTGTCATGGGATTCAAACAAGTGATTAATTCCGTTATTATGAACTAAATCCTGCTTTCCTTTCTTACAAATGTTTTTGGACACCACTACAGATGCAATGCTTACACAGAGAACAAAACTGCAAACATGCAACAGTGTCACCTCAAAATCTAGTGGGCGAGATGCAACTGAAATATTATTCAAATTCATTCATTATTCTATTAATTCTAAATAAAAATGGCCTGCAAAATTGCCCTTCATATTGAAAAAATGCTACCAATTTATCAATTCTTGAGATGGTTTCAGATCTTTTCTATTTTAACTATGACTCTTCCTGGCTTATAAATCTTTGTGCAGTCAGTATAGAATATTTATTTCTGTTTATTTGTATAATGACATCTGTATCACATAATAGGAAAAACTATAAAACAGGGTACCTTAGTAATGTCATTTGATTGCTTTTCTAAATGTCACATTCAATTAGTATAATATAAACTGCTCTTGCCAATTTAACATAAAAACTTTCAAGTAAGTCCAGACAAATACACTCACAAACACAAATGAAACGTGAGAAGCACATCATGGCTACAATGAAGTTAAGCTCCATATTGTAAAAATAAATTTAACATCATCATTGGATAAACACTAAGGCTATTTGGATTTTTGGATTGTCATCCTTCATGATACACTTGAAAAATGTGGGTTATGTTTAGAACTATTGAAGCTCAACTTTTATAATAGATTTCTTTACACTTAATGGTATTTCATAAGCTAATAGGTATGTACTATCTGGTCCAAGCCAAAAAAAATTAAAGGATTATGTGAAAGGGCAGTGATACAATTTTAAAATAAACAGTTAACCACTAGATTTCAGACTGAATTTGTTTGAGGCCATGGTATCAAAATGATAGTACAACACTTTGAATATTCATAGAAAAAAACAACAAAATTTTCAGTAATATAAAATCAGAAACACACAAGGTTACTTTTTTAAGGTTTTCTTTAGTGGAAGACTACAGGTAACTAGAGGGCAGTGGCTTTAGCTTCTGAGTAATGTGGTGCTAACATAAATCAAAACATGGTCTGCATTGTGGGGAATCTTCAGTCCATCTGGAAAAAAAAATCCAAGGTGGGCCAAAATTAAAAAAAAATTAGGTAACATCTTTTATCTAGCTTTTTAAAGGCCACCTCTTTTAGGGTATGGAAAACTGAGGAGACATATGGCACTTTAAACTCAGAAGCTGTTAAAACCTCACCAGATGTACAGTATATTGGCAACTACTTATGTAATACATTTGAGCTTCACATCAGTCTCTGGGTTACATTTTTTAAAACACTAAGCAGATGTGCATAAAGAAAACTCTTGCTGATTATCTCTTGTCATTAGAAATTCTGCAACTCTATACTGATAAATGCTAAGTGTTATTGGCCACCTTCGTTGTTCCGGTACTCTTAAGCACCGAGGAGTTAACACATTTTATCCATCTAGATCACTTTTCATAATATGAATCTCAGCTGTGGGCCAGTGAGAGGTAATGTGCTATGTTGGAAAGATTATACAGTTGGGGGTGAATACAGGTTCAAGTCCCAGTGCTACTATGCCCTTGCTCTATTATGTGACTGGGAATAAGTTACTTAAATTTAATGAGTCTCATTTGTAACTTGCAGGTGGTAATTCTTATTTCAGTGGGCTACTATGATGATTGAGCATAATAAATATTAGATACTCTACACCCCTAACCCATTGCCCATGCATTAATTTCAACTTCAATTTTCTATCAACTCTATACATGCATATGATACCATTTTCAAGATAAAAGTAGAATTCAAGTCTGGAAAAATTTTCTCCAAAGAAACAGTTTTGAAAATGTTTACTGTCTATGAATCAGGAATCTACAATTATTTATCCTTTCCTGTAGTAAATCTTTCATAGCTGAAATATCATTAAAATTATATCTAATATAGATAAACACAATTTCGAAGGACAGAAAAACAAATAATGAGTGGCAAGAATCTGAATACGTCATACAGCTTCCTCCAATATTAATACAGTATGCAGAAATTACCTACTTTCCATCCCATGCCTGGGCTCAGGTCAGCCAATCTCATTGAGAGGTAGCACCATATAACTAGAGGTGTAGGTGGGAGTTGAATTTTGGTATCATTGCCTGTTCAAAGGTGGATTCTGGTTCTACTGCTTACTTTTAAATTATTTTTGAGGTGCTGGAGATCAAATCAAGGGCCTCACATATAGGCAAGTGTTCTACCACTGAAATACATCCTCAGCTTCTGCTTATTAATGACATCTTGTGTAATGAGTTTAGTACTACTAGACTTACTGACTTTCTCATATGTCATAGGGAACCCTAATAACTAATGGTTGTTTTGGTTAATGCGTACACATGATCTGTGAGAACCATGTGCCATTTAGATATAGCTGGCCCAGTTTCTCATTCTAGATAATAATGTTGATAGTTTTTCTATTTAGAGTGATGGTGCTTTAGGCAATTTTGTGTTCACCTGGCTGGCTTAAAGTGTTCATCTAAATGTACATGACAAGCAGAGATCATAGATCATTTCGTAGTGACATACCTTCTCATCAGAAGCTATACCAATAATTTTGAGTCAAAGTAGTTAAATTCAACAATCTTGATAATGATTATTGCTGCCTATGAATTAAGTGGTTGGGGTAAGGAGGGGAGTGAATAGAGCTGGGGCATATGGGAGGCTCACTCAGTCTCCAGAGTCTACAACTAATTCTACTTGGATGTGGACCATTCTTCACAACAGAAATATTTGGGACAATTCCTCTATATCTTTAAGAGTAATATAAATTTCTTAATATGTGTGTGTGTGTGTGTGTGTGTATACACATGCAATTAAGTAATAGAATCCTGGTTGAACACTTGTTATATGTTATCAGATTTTTTATATACAAAGCAGGGCTAGAAATTACCTTATGCTACTGTTATGAGGATAAAATTACATCATGTATTTGAAGGTTAATCACTATTCCATTTGGGAGAACAACATTTTCCCTTCTATGTCCTACTGGTTTACCTTAAGGAATTATGAACAGTTATAAATACTTTTAGTTTCATCCAAAATTATTAACTTTCTAGATCCCATTAAAATATGGCATCCATGATCTAAAGATCTTACAAACCATTAAATGACTTTTTAATGTTTTCCTTCCAGGATGCCTTCTCCAGTTCAGCACTCCTACTATGGATCCTACCTAAGCCTTTCTCTGAGTAGAATGTGGTATGCACATGCCTTCATTATAGCATGCGTTCTATCCTAACACGGGATTAATTTTTCATCTAATCCAGTGGACAATGAATTCTTTCAAAGCTCCACTATTAGCATGTAGAACAATAAGAGAAACATAATAAACATTAATTAAATGAATGAATGAATGATAAGATTCTTATAGCATAGTTGAGTTGGTTGGAGGGCTACATTCCCGAAGGAGTGGTTAAAGGTAAAGAAAGAGGCTGAATTCAGATATTAATAGTATTTCATAAAACTCCTTAAGAATGGTTGTATAGAGTCAGGGGCTGGTAGTTCAATCTTGTAATCCCAGTCACTCAGGAAACAGAAGCAAGATCACAAGTTCAGGGCCAGCCTGGCAACTTAGCAAGAACTTGTTTAAAAATTTAGAAAAGGGCTAGGGATGTGGTAAAGTGCCTCTGCGTTCAGTGCCCAGTACTGATTAAAAACAGAAATAAAGTGACAGAATCCCTGTACAGAACACTTAGTATTTTTGAAGAACTCATCTCGAGATACAGTAACAGTCATAGTTACTTGTAGGAATCAGCCATATGTGATTTTGACTTTGCTCATTTCAATGCTCTGGCTTATTGTATTCCTCTCTTTTTGTGTTTCCTCATTTGGGCAAATGAGAATACTATCACCCATTATGAATATTGTAACAGCAAATATGAAAATGGATGTGATTTGTGATCCTTAGAGACAAAGGTGAGATTGTAAAAAAAAAAAAAATTGATCCAGATTGTCCTACTTCTCACATATTACCTGATGGGCTCTTCAGCATCTTTGGACAATATAAATAGGCCATGAAGCTATTTATAATACAATGTATTAATTCAGGCCAGAGGTCAACCAACTTTATGCAAAGGGCCTGAATGCTAGTCATTTAACTCAGCTGGTCTCTGTCTCTACTGAATTCTGCAGTAGCCGGTAAAAAGTGGACATAGAATATATGAGCAAATGGATTTGACTGTGTTCCAATAAAACTGTAATTACTAAATACAGCAACTGGGCAGAATTTGGCTAATGGGCAATATATAGTGACCCCTGATTCAGGCCCAGGGTTAGAATGAGTCAAAAAGTACAGTATAATGTGTTAAAGATTATTAATTTATCAGAGGATAGTGTTGGTACCAAGAAAATATGTTATTTTTTTACGGGTGTAAACTGTGTATGCTGTACAAAGAGACTGGTAATCCCTCATTTATTTTTAATTTAAAATATTTCTGTATGTGAGATAATTTTACGTGATGCTTTATTATGCAAAATAAGTACAGTTATAAATTATTACTTGGTTTTTATGTATCTAACCAACAGTGTTTAATTAAATTCGCATTTTCAGTTTGACACTTGGGACTAGAGCACGCTTAGCTGAAAGCACTTACTGTATATTTGTAATTGTCCACGAAAAGAATTTTTTCCACGAGAGTTTTCAGCTCTGCACTCATATATGCCTGCATCATCCAGTTGCACATTCGGTATTTCCAGCACTGCCTGAGATTTCCGCAGACGTGACTTAATAGGAATATAACCATTAACCTTCATCCATGTGATTGTTGGAACAGGGCTATAATAGGGAGCAAAAACAGTTAACACACTTTCCACTATTAGGCAAATAGATTCTGTTATCTGGTAATTTAAGCACTTAATAGGCTGAGTGTAATAAAATGTAATCACAATTAAGGACCATGTGCTCATTGATATACTTCACTTTCCATGTGGATTGTCTGATAAGTAGTTAGATTACAAGAGGATATTTTCCTTCTCTTTGATATTTCAGTAAAGCAATTCAGAGACAATATTTACTTACTTTACAACATTATACTTTACTTTATATTTTAAAATAAAAATTAATATGGCAAAATTATTAATATACAGTTATTGCAATGAGTCAAACAAAAGGATCATGAATTAAATAGAGAATATTTTTTGTCCCCATCCTCTGGCAAATTTCTACTGTCTGCAACAAATAACAGTTCATATATAATTTCACATCTCATGTCCAGGACATCTATATCAACACATATGATGTTATTTTTGTTTTGTCTTTCAAAAAATATAAATGTTGTCTACTTGGTTATTTTGTTGTTGTTGTTGTTTTTGTTATTGAAAGACCTCATCCAAAAATATAGAGCTGACTAATTCTGATTTAAAAAGTCACATATTATTCTAGTGTTTAGATGTAGCAGAATTTAATTAACTGTCCCTGATGGACATTCAGTATAGTAAGTTTTGTTTCATTCTTTTTTTACAACTAAAAAACAATGCTGCTATAAATAATCTCACACATACATCATGTACTATTGCTTTTATTTTCTGTGACAGACTTTCAAAAAAGAGGAATGGATGGATCAAAGGGCATGCTCATTTTTTATTTTAATAAGTACTGCAAGATTGTTTTTCAATAATATAGTAGCAGTTTCTATACTTGTTGGTAATATATGATTCTCTTTCTCTGCATCTTTGCCAACATTGTACAGAATCAATTTAATTTTTGTCAGTATTGATGGGTAAAATGTGCTATTTTTCTGCTTATTTAATTAATATTTCCCTGATCTCTAAGAATGTTGAATGTATTTTCATAATTTCACTGGTCATTTATATTATTTTCCTTATTTTTTTTTCTATTTTAATTTGCCTGTTTGCATTATTTTATTTCTTAGAATTCTGTGCAATACAACCTTTCAAGACTTTGTTTCTTAGAAATATTCTTCCTCTTTGTATGCCAATATAGTATCTGTGATATAATTTTTTAAACTGTTTTTTTTGGGGGGGGAGGAGAAACACACATGTCAGTAGTTTCCTTTATGACTTCTGAACATTTTCTTAGGTAGAAGATGCTCTCTAAACCCATTTATGTCAATTTTTGTGCAGAATTTTTGGTAGCACTTAAAAATATGTTTAAATGTTTTTATTTTTAATGTAACTGGATTATATTAAATGTTTTGGTGTGATATAGGGAATGTAATTATTTCAGTGTCATTAAATAAGTAAAATGCCTTTGCTACAATATGTGAAATGGTGCTTTTGTCATACAATTCCACATACTTTTATCTGTCATATGTCTCACATGGTTGAGTCTGTTTTGGGCATCTCAGTTCTGTTCCACTGATTTATTTAACACTATCTATATTTAATATACTTTATGCTTCAGAATTTTCTAGTTTGATTTCTCACTATCTCCTTCCACATCTCCTGACCCAGAAACACATCTCTCTGTGTTTCCCATCATATCTGTTAAACTCCTACCAATCCTTTGAGACTTGTCCCAAATGCCTCATCTTCAACCACGTTCTTATTTGTGTAGCCAGCTGAGAACTGTTTTTTTTTTTTAAATAGCAAAGCATCTTACTTTCATTCCCTGTAACACTCTGCCATAGATTATAGGTGTAGGATGTTTCTCAAAAATATTATTTTAGGAAAAAATATTTTTTTCTTGTAGGAGTCAATAAGTAATGCTAATTATTATTAACACAATTATAATAAAAGCCCTTGGTTATCATTGAATACTTTTATTATTTACTTTCTTAGGAATAAGACATAAAATTGAAATTTATAGGTTTAAGTTGGCAATACTTGCTTCTTTGTTTAAGTATATATTGTGGTAATATCAAGAAAAGCTGAGTTCCACTTCCAGAATAACTGGTGCATAAGTATGGCATATCATTCTCTTAACATATGTAAGAACTGGTATGTGATTTTTACAATTTTACATCTATTTGTAAAGTAGAAATTGTCTGTACATTATTAGCTTTGCTGTGTGTGTGCTTATTTGTAAGTATGTGGTTGGTTTGTATATAGTTAGCTTTGAGAGATGTGGTATCATAGCGATAGATTGCTTGGTAAACGTGTCAAAATATTCATGTCTCTTATATTCTATACCAATTTAAAGAGTAGGGAAGCTATTTTTTTTTCTTGGAATACCAATAAGATTCTCACAAAAAGTTACCTAGTCTGCTTTTATCAGTGGGATTAGTTCTTTACCATGTTCGCTTTGATTATGCTGTTTAAAATTCTGCTTGCATCAAATTTTGTAATTTGTTTCACTAGAAAATGAACTATTTCAACAAATTAAATATTGTAGCAGTAAGTTATATAAATTTTTAAAGTTTTTAAAAAATATTCCCTTATCATGAGTACTAAGTAGCAGTAGTAAAGTATAGGCGCCACAACCACATTTTCAGGGTATAAAGGTAGCTTTGTAACAAAAAGGGATTTAACATTGCATTTTTCACTATCCTCAATTATAAAATATGGTGGGAATATTAATATTTATGTCAGAGAATACTTATATACATCAGGTAATTTGAACTGGTTGGTATAGAACAAGGAGACAAAAATATTTGCAATGAGCAGATGTTTTCAAACTGCTTCATAATATTAATGGTATTACTATGTATTCTCTGGTTTTCTTATACAGAGAGACCATTATATATTTGTTAGGAGGATGTGCCTTCAGGGAAACCCGTGTCCAAAACCAATTTGGATACAAATATGCTATGTAATTTTGATAATTTGCCTAAGTTCCCAGAATTTGGTTCCCCCATCTGTAAATGGGAATATTTATTTATTCTTCCAGAAAGCAAATATCTCTAGGGTAGTAAAATTAATTTCTTTTTTCAGTAGTATGTCCTCTATTTTCTAACCACAATAGAGTGTTCAGTATATTGTTAATAGTATTTAATAAACTTACGAAATAATCGAATGATTCTCATAAAATTCTTTAAAAGAATATGGTAAGCTCTTGTAAATTAGTTAAAAAGTCATGCAAAATATCGAGTTCCCAATAAATGTTAGCTATAATAATCTTTTAAAGATCAGTTGTGTCAGGTTGTCTATTTTACAATAAACATTTTGAGTTTTTATTACTTTTTTTGTTTTATAAGTTTTTTTTAATTTACCAATTTGTCTTTCTCTATCAGTACATTTATATTATATTATTAATTTTTTCTGCTGGATGATCAACATAATTACTATTCATGATCAATAGTAAAAATATATAACTGACTTTTACTCTGATATCAGATGTAGCCAGATACTTATTTTGATATAGAGAGTGATGCAGAGTTTATTAGTTTTGGAGCTTGATAAATCTATCTTTTTACCCCAATACAAGATCAGTTTTTGAATACATTCTCTATTCATTGGCAATAAAAGGAATCCCTTATTTAAGATAAAAGTTTAAAAATTAGCTTTTAAGTAATTTTTAATTGTGTCCTCCAAACATTATTTTAGTGTTTTTTCATAATTTTAAAGCAATTTAACTTTCTAGCAAATTGAATCTTCTCCGGACTATTTGAAAAAACAAAACAAAAAACAAACAACAACAACAACAACAAAACAAACCTCCCTTATCAGTAGATGCAAAGTTGATATGCTTGAAGCAGGAATGAAGGTTCTAGAACCTGCTTGCTTATCCATCCATACCACACAAAACCACTGCTCTATTTTTCAATTTTGTCCTAATTGATCTGTCAGAATGAGAGAGTTGTTAATTTCCCACTATTTCTATTACTACTATATTATCTTATAGTTCACTAAGATTTATTTTTTATTTTATTTTTTTCCTCTGGAAATAAATGTTCATGAATGTTCACATTAAAGTTTTAATTATTTTAATAAAAATAAAATTATTCTCTAATTGAATGATATGTTATTTAAATTATATTTTTAAAAATAGTCCATTAACCTCATGCACCTTTCCTACTTATCCTATTTTTGCCTTTCTTTTTTGTAGTGGGTCACTTTGTTTTGATCTGATTCCCCTACATAGAAAATGACTATATTTATTTTGGGCCCAAAGACTACATTTGCAGATCTTTGCATTGTAATTGTTGGAATTTGACTTTTTAATTTTTATTGCTCTAATGAATTCAACTATTCTTATTTAGTCAAATTGGAATTGAATGCAAAATCAAAGATAATTTCATACTGAAAAAAAACCTTTAATGGAAATGAACCTTGGAATTAAAATGATTATGAATTAAAAACTTATCAGGAAGGTATGATTGTAAAAGTAACTATGCAGATTAAAACTGAAATAAATATATAACAATGTAATAAATAAATCTTATAAATATAAGATTCAATGTATATAAGTTAAACATGGAACTGCACATATTTGTAGAGAATAGATCTGAAATCATTGAGAGGTTTGAGCCTTTCAATGAGACACCATGAGACACAGAGAGAGAAAATACAAACAGAATGGACTTCAATTAATAGACATGTAACATAAAACCAGAGGGCACAGCTTAAGTCCAGTCAAATATGAGAGATAGAGGTAGAGGGTGGGGTGAGGGAGGGATAGAAAGCATTATTGAGGCAGGGAGCTACAGGGAGGTAGAGAGAAACCATACTAATGAAAGACAGAGTGATTAGAGAAAAAGGAAACTAAGTAATATCCTTAGAGAAATGGCAAAAAAAATTCCAAAATCATGCACATGAATCCTTAAATAGAAGTAACATAATATATACAAGGCATGGCTAAGAACACAAAGCACCAATCACATACCAGTAACCACAGAGGAAAGACAAACTATCTACAAAATAATAATAATTACAATG